GTAAAGTAAATCCGTTGGGCATCTTTCTTTGCCTTTAGACAACAATTCTGATGGCAAAAGAGCCAAACGGGACAGGCAAAAGAAAAAAAGTAAAAAAAAGAAAAAAGAAAAAGTATGTTGTTTGTACCATTCAGCATAAATGATTTCCTGGCAATATTATGGTTGATTTTTCTCCAAGAATATCAATTTCTGGTTAAGTTTCATATTTTAAAGAAAGACAAAATTTCACAAACTTCTTATGTAACTGAAAATATTTGTTAAAGACAAATAATTAATAATTGGCAAGCTATCTTTATTGTACCTCTAAGGCTGTGAAACTGGAGCTTCGTTCACACAGATGGTCGTTACACTTCAGCAAGCGTCTGAGCCCTTCAGCAATGACTCGAACTGCTATATAGATACCATAAGATTCATCCTGGTCGATGTAAGAAGCCAGATATTGGTTTCTTTCTTCTTCAGACTTATTTAAAGAAAGTAGATGCTGCGTCTGGTAATCTCTAAGAATTGTGTTATTAGTTCCATTAAACATCGACATGACATGGTCTTTAAAGCCAGGCACCTCTTTCTGCTTATATATGAACCCAAAAACTTCTCCTGCCAGTTTGATGTCTGACATTGCAGAGATCTTTGAAGAGCTGGACCATGCATCACTTGCAATCCACGTTCTGTTGACTCTGTGTTTAATAGCTGCTTCCAGGATGATTTCTGCATTAGTGTCCTTTGTGAAGATGATGATGGCCTCAGCAGAAGAGTTTTGAATTTTTTCCAGTAGTTCATTCAGCTCAGTTTGGTCCATGCTATTATTGTTTGTCGTAAAATCAGCGGACAAGATGTGAACAAATTCAATGCAGATGCTCTTTTTGTTGAAGTTGTCTTGAAGGCTATCACTGCCATATTTCCCATACTCATCATCACTTCCCACAATAATCACTGTTTTCCAATGGAATATCTTCACCAGCTCAATAATACCTCTTGTCTGATATTTGTCACTAGGCACGGTTCGCAGAAAAGTGGGAAACTTGAACTTGCTGCTCAGCAGCTCACTTGTGGATGCATAACTAATCTGTTAAACAGACATAGAGCATATATGAAAACAGTTCATTAAAGATTTTTCCAACACATAAGCATGGAAATCTAAAGACAGATTATGTATTTGCTGATATTATTGATTTTCATCAAATTTAGATTCTTATATTTCTAACTGAGCTTTGTAGGACAGAAAAAGAGAAAACAAACCTGGGCAACTGAAGACAGAGCAACAAGTCGTGCAACAGCTATTGATACTTCTGAGTACCTTTCCCCGATCACCACCTTGGTTTTGGGTTCAAGTAACTTGGACTGAGCATCTGCTGGCACTAAACAGCTTTCTGGGTCTGACTGATTCTTCAGCAGCTGGAGAGTTGCTCTCAAGGCGAGGCCGACATCTCCACAAGTGTCATAGATGTCGTATCCTATCGTGATGTTAGGTAGGTTGATTTTGTTGATGGCGTATATCATCACTTGACTGTGCAGGAATGTTTTTAAACCATAGCTGCAAGATTGACAGAAGACAGATTAAATTCACAAATCATCTATTTGACACTAATGAGCTGAGTGTACTTACTCACTACAGGAGAGAGGTGCAGAAGTGTTAGTCCTATTAGTTTTTAAATGAATGGGGAAAAGTCCACCAATGATGATATTCCCAGGAGAGTATGCACGGAGAAAACTATTCTGTCCTAAAGAGGAGTGAAACACACTCATGACAAATAACCACATTAAAAACATCATGGATACGCACAGGTAGAACATTTACATGTGTCTATCTTCTCTTTTCAGTATGACCAGGTTCCTGTACAGCAGCTATATAAAAAACTTCTACTCGTTTATCATTTGCATCATCAGATTGTTTCTGTAACGCAATCCAAATGAGTTCCTCTTTAATCTTCCAAACACGAAAAGACCAAGATGATTTGAATTTGTCACAGACAATGATGTCTAGGTTTTAGTTTCAACATGTTAAAATAAATTAAAACCATTTTTTCCAAGTTTTTCTAAATGATAATACATAACATATTCAAACAGGAGTAGAAATAGGCATAAATACGGTGGCCCTGAGAGGCCAAACGGACTGCAACTTCAGAAAACACTTGCAAAAAGAAAAATGCTGCAAAAAGAAAAACACTTGCAAAAAGAAAAATGCTGCAAAAAGAAAAATGCTGCAAAAAGAAAAATGTTGCAAAAAGAAAAATACCTGCAAAAAGAAAAATGCTGCAAAAAGAAAAATACCTGCAAAAAGAAAAATGCTGCAAAAAAAAACAAACCACCTGCAAAAAGAAAAACGCTGCTCTTGCTCTTGACGAAGGCGGTCGCACTTTTCTCCTCTCCTCCTGCTCCCTTAGTTTCCCTGCTTAGCCTCTTATGTCCTTGTCTAGTCTCGTGTTTTTTGTCTTACTTTTCCCTGGAACATTCTCTCACAGTCTGTTCTCTAAAACCTAAAAGAGGAATTATGGATTGGATCAACTGGTCTCTGGGCTTGGGTGAGCCTGAGTGCTGAAGATATCTACCTATTTGGAACCATGGTAACAGGGTTCTGACAGATCGGAGCTGGCTTGGCCCTGACTTATCGAAGAATTAAGAAAGCGGAACCGGCTGTTCAAACCCCCACAAGGCTGCCCGCTGGGATTGGAACGATGGGAGAGGCGTGAGTTTCTCAAAATGGGCTCATTGAGTGCAGCACGGATAAGATCTTGGAGAGGCTACGGCTGCTGTGAATACTCAGAATAAGATCTCTGACTGCAGACTGGATACATCTCGGAAGGGCTAGCTCGGAATAACATCTCTGGGCGCAAATTGGATGACATCTCGGGGAGGCACACTGCCGTGAGTTCTCAGAATCGGCTCCTTGAGCACAAGAAATGACAACATCACAGAACGCAAGTATGGCGAAGCTCGCGGCTCTCCAACGGGAGATTGAGAGACCAGTGTTGGACTGTAGAACTGCTTTGAAATTCATATGAGCTGTTCGCACTAAAGTAAAAACCACCATCACTTCATGCGGATACCCCTTTGGCGCCAGCTGCGGTCTCAAGGCTGGAGCTGAACAACAACACCCTGATAACGACTGTGTTTAGTCTGTTCCTTCCCATTCCATGCAAGGCCACCTGGGTTGGCTGGAAGACTGTTTACTTAGCCTAGCAGGGCGAAGGACACTGTCTCAGCTGAACTCTGGACACGCACACACATACATATACACTGATATGCACACACTCATCCCCCCTCCCTTTCCAAACGCCTTTCGACGCTTATTCCCTTCCGATGCTGACGGTGGATCAAGGAGACCAGCGCACGCAGGCCCGGATGTACTGTCTAATTCGGCGGTCTCTCACCCTTTACCCACCCCTGTTGCTTGTCATGTGTTTCTTTGGTGTATTAAGAGTTTTTTTCATGTGCTATGTGCAGAGGTGTTTTTTTTCTGTTCTCAAACTGATCTCCCTGTTGGAGCTCAGTCTGGGGGGAGTTATTTTTTTCTCCTTATCTTTCCTCATGTGGTGCATTTTCCATTGTTATACCTCTCTGACCTGTCTTCCCCATGTGATGTTTTGTGTAATGTATGTATGGTCGGAGGGTAAGATGGCGCCGCCATTGCGTGCAATAGGTCGGCAGCCTTATGAAATTTCCCCTTGTGGGACTAATAAAGGTATATCAATTCAATTCAATTCTTACAGAAAACCAGTTTTGCAATGAAAGCACCAGTTAGAATAAGGAGGTTAAATGTAAAAGTTGTTCTGAAAAGCTAACATTAGTAAGTACTTTATTCATGGACCACCTCACCCACCCACTAACCCATACAGAATCCTCAAACTGTTTCACTGAGGTAAGTGACAAACTGTTCTCCATAAACAATAACTGCACTTCATTTAAACTCTCAACGATGAAATAACTATCGCCACCAGGGACAATACTTATCAAAAAAAACAACCATACTCAGTCAAAAATCACACTCAGTGAGAGATAATCTAGCCTTTTCTTATATCCCTTAATTCTTAATAAATTTAAAAAAAAAAAAAACATTAAATGACTTTCTGAAGAAAAAATTAAGATCTTATCAGACACCGTCACTGTAATAGTGTCTGGGACAAAACAATGTTAAAGGCAATGTCTAATACCCAGTACAAAAAGCCCAATAAACAAGGATTGTTTTCATATGACAACATTGTTATACCTCTCTGACCTGTCTTCCGCATGTGATGTTTTTGTGTAATGTATGTATGGTCGGAGGGTAAGTTGGCGCCGCCATTGCGTGCAATAGGTCGGCAGCCTTAACATGAAATTTCCCCTTGTGGGACTAATAAAGGTATATCAAATCAAATCAAATCAAATAATCATTCAATAATAATCATTACTCAGTCAAATATTATGAACGCAAAGAACTGGTTTAAAAAACTAAAGGAAGAAACAGCAATTAGTTCTGATCTAATCTGCTCAACAAATCCAGAAACGATGGGGAAAAAGAGAAGAAATACTCCACAATAAACTTAGTTTTAAATGGTTGCTGTTAGCATTTGCACGCATTTAATAAAATAAATCATGTGAATTTAAATGAATGGTATATTTATGGTTTTGGAAAGTAAACTTGAACATGACAAGAACAGCAACAAAAATATTTCCTTGGTGAATTTGTGCAATTAAGTATTGAGGCAGTAAGGGAGGATTCAGGCTCACCTGGTCCAGCCCTAACTATATGCTTTAAGAAATAACCATGTTCATCTCTCCAGTGGTGACATAGAGGCCAAGTGTCAGAAATCACCTGCCTGATTCAGTTCCCTTTTTATAAAGGGATATTTTTACCAACTGTATTTGAATAATATGCAAAATGCATTTTATTTGCATTGTAAATATTTTTTGCTGTATTGAGGCAGTTCTGAAAGAGGTCCAACCAGTATTAGCAAGCTGTACTCAGAGAGCATATTGTACATTTATTTTATAACATTTATAATGTGCTCAAATGGTTGTAAATGAGAACACTTGGCTTTAGTTGTTTTTTCCGATTTTAAAAAAGCATCTATCTATGTCATTAAGCTGATAAAAGAAAAAAAAATGGTATTTTGTCCGAGGCCTTTTTCTTCTTTAGCATTTTGTCTCTTACAGAAAGAGTTCATGCAAAACATTGAAAAGTACTTCTGGGTATTTGTTCCACTTTAATCATGCATTTCCATCCAGGAATTAATTTCCATCTAGGGAGTGGTCCAGGGTGACAATGTCTTGATTCACAGGGCACGGTGTTTACAATGTCCACGAATGCTTCATTCACTGA